GGGGGGAACTTCTGAGGCCTGGTGGTACCGGGGCCGGGAGCTGGTGCCGGCGGCCCGGGCCCGCACCCGACTCTCCTCTGGCCGCGGGGCGCGTTCGGGGTCAGGCCCGGGGCCCGGAGGCACCGGAGGGGCTGCGGGAAGGAGCCGGAGGAGTCTCCCCGGCGCCCGCGGAGCTCGTTTAAATCCCGTCCGGTGTCCCGCTGTGCGGCAGCCTGTGGCGTCCGTCACCCCCAAACGTGTCTCCTGCGCCCCCAGGGCTCCGGGCCCAGCCCCGGGGTGGCCGGGCTGTGCCGAGGCCGCCGTGGCGAGGCCCCGGGCTGAGCGGTGGCCCGTGGCTCCCAGCTCGGTGCGTGAGGCCGGGATCTTGTCCGGCAGCCGGCCCGGAGGACACAGCGCTCTTGCTGAGGTGCAGCCGGGACTCCCCCACCGGGCAACGGCAGTATGTCATGGAGTCATAGGGTCGTGTGGGGTTGGAGGGGACCTCTGGAGATCATCTAGTCACTGCCTACAGCAGGTCCCACAGGAACGTCTCCAGGCGGGTTTTGAACGTCTCCAGAGAAGGAGATCCCACCATCTCTCTGGGCAGCCTGTTCTCCCTCCCCCAGAGAGCCCGCCCTCCACATACCTCTGAAGGCAGCTGTGGCACATCTGCTGGGCTCTAGCCCGCACCACGCCCGCTTCTCCTCCGCTCGTGGAGCCAAAGAAATGACCAGTTGCCTTTACAGGAAGGTACCTGCCCTGGTTTGGGCCGCACCGGCCGCTGAAAGGAATGACAGATGCTCTGCCCCAGCCTCTCCCTTCAGGGAGAGAAGGAGGAGAGAGAAAGAGACTTAAGAGTTTAAAAGAAACTAACCTACTTTAATGAGATATTAAATAATAAAAAGAAAAGATAATAATATCAAAAAAAAAAAAAAGAGAAGAAAATGAAATAAGTACAATGTATACAAAACCAGTATCAAGCTCCCAGGATGAGGATCACTGGGGAAGTCCCAGACTGGACTCGGTGACGGACACGAACGGGATTCCAGATCTGGAGTCAGGAACACACGGATCAGGGTCAAAGGCAGAGGAACACACAGGGTCCTCCTTGACGCTGCCCGTTGAAGAAAGAGCTGACCCTTTGATCCCTCAGCTTTTACACTGAGCGTGGGGCAGATGGGATGGAACACCCTGTGGGTCAGTTTGGGGTCACCTCTACTGTCCCCTCCCTGCAGCTGGGACCCCTCTACGCTTTTCCGCTTCCGACTCTACAACAGGACAAATAACAAAGTGAGGTGACCTTGGCTGTTACAGCAATGAGCATAAGCAAGAGCCTCTGCACACCGTTCCTTGGCATGAACTCTGAACATCAGGTCTTACTGCTCCAGAAGTGGATACTCTCTGAAAAATACACCATTAATTTCAGAGAGTTCAGCTAGAAGAGGCTTGGCTGAAAAGTAAAATTGCTGAAAATAAAATTGATTCTATTTTACCTCAAACAGGACATTTGGATTAAACTCTTCCAGGATTAAATAAAAATGTCCATTGTGTAATTAAAAGAAAACTGGAAATGTAACCTGCTTTAAGAAGTTGGGGGGGACACATCTCTGCAAATCCAGCTGACGTGTGGGGTCTGAAGGGAAAGGGCAGCCCCAGGACCAGCCTGGTGAGCGTTTCTCCGTCCCAGTGTCAGGGTGCAGGTGTGCTCTCACAGCAGAGGGTTGTCCCGGCGGCTGTTCAGCCCTTCCCCGTCTGCTTTGCTGTTCCCAGCCTCGCCGTCTGCTCTGCACAAAGAGCTTTGGTTTCTGCAGAACTTCGTGGATGTGCTCAACTTACACATTTTGCTCATGTTTGTCAAGAGACCTTCTGGGTGTGAGAACCCATCAGTCACAGACTTCCCAGTGGTTTTAGCTCTGGTGAAGCCCTTTCTCCTGTGCGTATCTCCACGCGGTGCGGTGCTCCTGGTCAGTGCCTCGTCCCACCCAAAGGTGCTGTGAGCTCTGCTGTGTCCCTGCCACGGCCTGGCCATACGCAGGAGGAGCGGGACGGCTGCTCCCTGGTTTCCTGCCTTTGCCTTTGAGCGTGGGGAAGGTGCAGACTCTGCCCTGTGTTTCCTTGGGGCACAGACGTGAAATGCTGTCGCTTTTTTCTTAGCAGTTGCCGTTGCTCAGAACTGTTGGGGCTCTGCTGTACTCGACCTCGTCCCCCTCTGACAAACTGGGCAGGAATTTCAGAGTGAGCGAGGGGAGCAGTGACAGGCTGTGCCAATGTTTCCATGTGACAGGATGTGAAATGAAGGCTGAAATGACTGCAAAATGTAGAGACTGAGAGAAACGACCACGTTTGATGTGGATTCTAGTCTTCCACTTGGAGCCATACACCTTTGCACGTCCCACAGTAAAATCAGGCCGGCCATTGTGTTTGGGGGTGCGCTGGGGCAATCCCACTCTTGGGGAGACTGTCAGAGAAGTGAATTTGATTCAATGTGTGAGTCAGCATCGTCCATCTGAAATACTTTCAGTTGTGTCAGCGCTGTGGATGAACAGGAATGACCACTTTGGTGCTGCTCTGGCAGAGCACCGTTGCACTCGTAGTACGTGAGATACGGCTGAGAGTTTGGAGTTGGTGTGGGCACTGGCTGCTGGTAGCACTTGTTTGGGGGTAGGGCTGGGCCTGGGGCACTGAGAGTGGCTGTAACAATTCCTTTAAACTTTTATTCTGGTGAATTTTTATAGAACTGAATGTTTAGTAAACAAGGGGACTGGATCCTTGTTGGCCCTGTGCTTAGCCCATCGGAGGACAAAGCCCTGTATTTAATTTGGAAGCAGAAAAGGCCAGGGTGCACGACGCCATGAGCTGCTTTTGTCTGCTCCGAGTACAGGATCGTATACTTTGAATGGAAAAACTAAGTGTTCAGTGTGTTAAATTTTCACTTTTCAATTGTATAATGCTTTTAAAAAAAAGGAAACACGGTAAATGTCAAAATCTGTCTTGTGCTTTCTCTCCTCAGGACGAATTTTTAGACGTGATCTACTGGTTCCGGCAGATCATTGCAGTTATTTTGGGAATCATCTGGGGAGTAGTTCCGCTGAAGGGATTCGTGGGAATAGCAGTGTAAGGTTTATTTCCTTTTCTGTCTCGTGTACTTTCCCACATTTGGACTTGCCTTGGTGCCTGTTTTAAACACGGGGCTGGCCAGCCGCAGCCTCTGCCTGCCCTGCCTGAGCCAGCGTTCCGTTCCCCACTGGTATTTCTCAGGACATTCATACAAATCATAACATGTCTTCATCAGCCTCTTTCTCTCTCCTCAGCCTGACTAATGCTTCTTAAAAGTATTATTTATTTATTTTTTTATTGTTCTTGAAGGCGGCAGGTGTAGAAGAAGGGAAGGAGAGGTTCAATTGACTTGTGGCCTGTTCCCTGTGAGTGGGGGCTGTGAGTCTGGTCGCCACTTGAGGAGTAAGGCCCATAGAGGGGAAGGTGTGGTAGCCCTTCTCTTTGAGTCAGGAGCCCTTCTCAGAGAGGAGGCTCTGTTAGCAGACGAGGAGGACAGCTTCTTTTGGAAAAAGGAAAGGTTTCTTCAGAACAGCAAAGGCCGTGGGTGAGAGGCAGGCAGTGTCCCCGTTGGCAGTGCTCCTGCGGCGCTCCCAGCTCCCTCAGCCGCGTCGGGGGGGAAGGCAGTGCCTGGAAGGTGCGTACACATCAGATCCCCACCAGGACACAGGATTCAGGTCACCTCCCAGTAGGTGTCTGAAGGCTGCAGCGAGCACTTCGAGTTAAGAAATGAAAATTTGTTTGGCCCTGGCACGTGTCTGAAAGCATCTGGAGGGACACAAGAGGTGGGAAGATGCGGGGTCAGCTCTGGGGAGTCTCTGTTTGCAAATGTCTCTGCCTAGTCAAGGTCTCCTAGTCAAGCTCGTAACCTCACAGCTTTTCTTAGGGAAAATTGTCATGTTGTCCCTCCTCCTGAGTGTCCTGGCTGTGGCAAGAAAGTGGAAGGAGTAGCAGAAAGTACCTCTAAGAAAAAAAGCAAAAAAAAAAAAAAAAAAAAAGGTTTGAAACTTAGGGAAAAGGAGCTGTAAAGCAGTGATGCTCCAACAGGAACTCAGGAGTCACGTGCAAACAGTTAAATCTAAAGGGCTCCCAGTAACAGATGAGGAGTAGCTGAGGAGCATTGTTCTACTTAGTCATCCATTAACCCACAAGGCACCTTCAGGCACCTAAGCCAATTCCTATGCTTAATGTTAATAAGAACTGGAAGTGATTTGGTGTACAGTGGGAAAGCTAAAAGCTCTGTGTGTGTGGTGTCCTCGTGGTGTGCAGTCACCCAGCAGCTCACGGCATGCTGCCAGCCACTGAACTGCTGTGTGTGTCCTCCCCGATTGCCCTTCCTACACAGCCTTCTTTCCAGGAAATGTTCCTGTCGCTTCCCAGCTTGCCCCAGCCCCGAGCTGGGGTGGTGTAAAGCCAGACGTGTCTAAGCACAACCAGGAGGTCGTGTTTTTTCCTCTGTTTCAGTGTTACTGTTGGCACAGGCTAGAGAGCGCCGAGTTGTCTCAAGTGGAACCCCAGCACCGTGGCTCTGAGGGTGCTATCGAGGCTTCTCTGGCTCTTTTCTCTGACTGCATTCGGTCAGGGGACACTCAGAGGGATCTAACACTGAGCAGGATCTACCAGCCCTCCCTCCGAGCAGCCTCCCAGTCCAGTAGCAGACACGAGGAGACTGGGAGCAGGAGCGCTGCAGAATGGGAACACCTGCAGGGTCTGGGGATCTGCTGGCACTTCCAGACAAGGAGTAGGGTGTGCCCTGTGAGCAGAACTTCACCCGAACCTGGCCTGCCATGGCAAGCTGACCTTGGTGCTCTTCTCAGCTGCTTGGGAAGCGTTACAGGAGCGTCCCTCTTTCCTTCCTCCCTGCTGTGGATGAAAGATGTGTCACTGCTGATTGCTGTGTGGTGTGTTGGGTACCTGCACCACCGAAATGACGCTTCTTAATCCCTTTCTTCCAGATTCTGCCTGATCAATGCTGGTGTTCTGTACCTCTACTTCAGTAGCTTCCAGCAGATAGATGAGGAGGAGTATGGCGGGACGTGGGAGCTGACAAAGGAAGGATTCATGACATCTTTTGCACTGTTTCTGGTAATGCCTCTTGCTTTCTTTACATTGATTACTGAATTGTTGGTACACTTTCTGAGGGAAAAGACCTGGAAGAAGAGCAGGTGAGGTGGTGCACTGATAGGAGAGAGGTGTGTTAATGTCATCTAAGAAGTGGAGTTGATTGGGAAAGAAAATCCCCAAATCTGATGGCTACTGGCTGTGAAATACAGTATTAACGCCTGCTATTTCTCTGTAGGAAAGGACATAGGAACAGGCAGCTCTACTTCTGCATCTACCACTTAACTTTCATGTCTCCCCTCCTCTGTCCCAGATACCCTGGTGGAGTTTCACCTAGAGCGAGTTACACCCAAATCGGTGTTTTGGGTGTCTTTGGTTTTTCCCTCACTCCCCACGCTGTCCCCCAAGTCTGATTGTGCACAGCACTTGATTTGGTGGTGGTTCCAAATCACTAGAGGGGCTGTGGTGGGACTTTCATGTGGAGAGTCCTAGTCATCTCAGAAGACAAGCAATTCGAATGCCACCATCTGTGGTGTGTGGTGATCCTAACATCTCTGACCTTCTTAGAGCTGGAATTCACTCCCCGGTCCTCTATTGAGAGCGAGGTGTGAGGCTTGTTTTCTGTGTCTGAACATTCTCTGAAGGCATCAAAATAACCTTGGCTTCTTCTCCTCTCTGCAGGTTGTTTGGATAATCTTCTATACTGCCATCCACTATGATTGACACGGTCTGCAGCTTTTGCCTGTTAAATCAGTCATCAGTAAATCAAGAAGGTTTTAATAAATTATAGTCTTTAGTGGACTGGTGGGAAGGTGGGGAAGTCAAACCAACCTCCTTCTGTACCAGTGGTCTGATTAGCCTGGAAGAGCCCCAACTCTTCTGCTGGAGAAGTCTGTCTCCGTTTTATATATCCGTTAATTGTTGGAACTATTAAAAAGCCATTGGAATTTTTGGAAGTGGTTCAAGACTGTTCAAATTTTGAACTTTCTGTGACTCTAGCCAGTAACTCTATCAAACTCCTGTGTGCTGAAGGTTGAATCTGTTAATTTAATGTATGTATGCCCTTCTGTTTGAAATCTGTCATTAAATCCTGACTTGTCTTCCATAGCTGTCCTTAAGACAAACAGTTTTTAAAAAGAAGTTGTAGGCTTCGTGGGAGAAAGGCACGGCAGCATCCAGGATATGAGTTGAGGGCTGTCCCTAGCATGTTTTTGTAGTAATCAGATCTGATTTGATTAAACAGACTGTCTTGTTACCATTTCTAATATTTTTTGTCTTACTTGCAAATCAGTTGACGACCAGAATTTTAAAATGGTCTTTGCTGAATACAAATTTTTAAGCAACTTTACTAGCAAGAATTGTGATTCATTTGGTTAACGAAGGTTTAACTTGAGGTGTGTTCAGGAGGCTTAGAAACTCCACTGCGTTCTGCTAGCCTGACTACTGAGTTGCCAGCACATACCTCAGAGCTTAGTAGTCTTGAAGGACAGTTCTTCTGGAGATACCCTTTTAAATGTTAAGCATTTAAATTCTTTGATTTTTTTTTTAAGCTTTTGAATTCAACTGCTCCTCGTTAATAAATGCAGGAGACTAAGACACAATTGAGGCAGCTATTATCTTAAATGCAGAATTACTAACTTGCAAATCAAGCAAAGTACATAAGCCTCTGGTTTGGGAGGTGCTTTTTATGAGTTGATCACTTCATAGCTGAGTTCCTCCCCAGTCGTGCCCTTCTTGTGCATCAGTGGGGGGCACTCTCTGCTTTAAGATATTTTTAAGGACATATCTTTCAGAAATAGTACTTGGGAAACACGCACAGTCCTTGTTCTCGTCAGAGGACCTTACAGTCTTGTTGCAGTGTGGTCCTTGCTTTTTTAAACAACAGCTCAGGCACCCAAAGAGAGTCCTGACCTAAAGCTGCCTTATAGTGAGGAGTTGATAGTTGTAGCGTGCTCTTGCTGAGAGTCTGCATTGCTTTCTTGCTGCTGGAAGTTCAACAGCCCACTTCTCACACACGAGTATGCAAAGCCAGGGATCTCAATCTCTAAGTGCTGACTGAGGCTCCACCTCCATCCTTACCAAGGAAAATGCTGTCTCTTCCTGGTGGAAAAAACACACCTGGCTATTTTAGGTCCTTGGGATGCCAGGGGAAGAGTGCAATAGCAGACGGTTCTGCTACTTGTGAGTTGCCAATTTAAGTGATCTCAAATAAAAACCTGTATTTGCTCCTCCCCGTCCCCAAACTTGCTGAGTCTTTTAGTCTGATGCTTTCTTTTCTTTTCTTTCAACTGAAAGCATTAATTTCCCCCAGGAATTGCATAGCCTGCTCGTTCTAGGTCACCCTTTCCTACTGGCGTTTGTTTGCATCTTTGCTGCTCGCAGCCATCAGTAAAATCATTGTATACTTGAAATGCTCTAATAAATGTTGCCTGGATAATCCACTGTGCAGCTTCTGTATCCTTGGGTCTTTGAAGTTTTGCAAAATGGTGGGAGTGTGGGATTCCTTTAAGAGTTTGATTTTTGGTAAATACCTAAGCCAGCAGCTCTTTGGTATTCTCAGTTTTCCTGTGCTGCAGGCTGGAGTCCTGCGCTTTTAGAAGGGGCCAGAAGTATTTGTAGAGGAAGTAGCAGCTAATGCTTAGATCCGTGTTTTAATGGGGGATTAAGCAGGTTAAGCCAAGTGTTACCTCTAAGTAACGTGTCCTGCCCCTCCAGCAGCTGTCCCTGCCTGGTGACACACAGTCATGGCAGAGCCACCGCTGCGCTGCAGTGCCCAGGCCTGGTCCAGAGCAGGGCTTCCAGTGTGGCTGTGAAACATGCAGAGTGAAAGACTGCAGAGCTGGGGCGTCCCTTACAGAATCACAGAACGCTATGGGGCTGGAAGGGACCTCTGGAGATCATCCAGTCCAACCCCCTGCCAAAGCAGGTCCACCCAGAGCAGGTCCCACAGGAACGTGTCCAGGTGGGGTTTGAATGTCTCCAGAGAAGGAGACCCCACCACCTCTCTGGGCAGCCTCTGCCAGGGCTCTGCCACCCTCACAGGAAAGAAGTTCCTCCTCATGTTTAGGTGGAACTTCTTATGTTCAAGTTTGTGCCTGTTCCCTCTTGTCCTGTCCCTGGGCACCACTGAGAAAAGACTGGCCCCATCCTCCTGACACCCTCCCTTTAAGTCTTTATAGGCTTTGATCAGATCCCCCCTCAGCCTTCTCTTCTCTGGACTAAAAAGACCGAAGTCCCTCATCCTTTATTCACAAGAGAGATGTTCTAGTCCCCTCATCATCTTTGTAGGGGTGTACACATCTTTGTGTACACCACCTCTGCTGTACCCTCTCCAGCAGTTCCCTGTCCTTGAACTGGGGAGCCCAGAACTGGACCCAGTGCTCCAGATGGGGCCTCCCCAGGGCAGAGCAGAGGGGCAGGATGACCTCCCTCCACCTTCTGGCCACGCTCTTTTAATGCTCCCCAGGATGCCATTGGCCTTCTTGGTCACCAGGACCCATTGCTGGCTCATGGGCATCCTGGTGTCCACCAGGTGTCCCAGGTCTTTCTCCTCAGAGCTGCTCTCCAGCAGGTCAGCCCCAAACTGCATTGGTGCAAGGGGTTATTCCTCCCCAGGTGCAGCACCTACACTTGCTCTTGTTGAATTTCATCAGGTTCCTGCCCCTTGGCTCTATTCCTTGCCTGCATGCAGTCCCACCAGCTGAGTTCCTTGGGTTTTGCAGGTCTCTGCAGCTCTAGGGGCTGAAAGCTGAGGCAGAACCTGAGTTGAGGAGGACCCTCTGTTGAGGAGGATCATGACTGTGTGGAAGAGACATTGGTCTCTGGATCTCCTTAAGGCTCCTGGTAAATAAGTTAGTGATTGCAGGTGTGCAGCTGCAAGCTTTCAATTTCTTAAGGTTTCTGTTTCAAGGGTGTCTCCATGGCTAGACGCAGGTATCCCCAGTGCTGGTCACTAAAGCTATGGCATCTGCCCTCAAAGAAATGAGATCAATTTTAAGAATCTCAAGGGGATGTGGCAGCCTGTAGGACGGAGCTGAGCATCTTACAATGATGAGCACTGTAAAAATAAGGGGGTTTTACAGCAATGTGAGAGATTGACACAGGGATGGTCTAGCAAAGAGCATAAAGTCAAGCGCTAGGAGGACAGAGAGCAGCAGCTGACAGGAGGAGGTTCTGCAGTGGGGGGAACAGGGGCTTGGGCAGCACCTCTGTCCTCAGCAGTTCCGGTACCACAATGAGCATGATTGCTCTGCACTCTCCTTGAAGGGCGGGTGACTAAACCCATGGCAGGGGGTCTGGTCTCTGCTACCGTGGAGCAGCAACAAGGGAGAAAAAGGGCTTTCCTGCACTGGGGAGGTGAGCTGTGGGAGCCAGAGCTGTGGGGAGACAGTTCCACCAGAAGACTGTGTCCTCAGGGGGTGTCTGCGATGGTGCAGAGGAGAGGCTGTACTGCCAGCTGCGGACCTGTGGGAACATCACTTTGGCTTTCAGCAGAAAGAAGGCAGTCCCCAGCAGGAAGGAGAGTGAGATGTTCCCTGGCCTCACCTCGTGAAGAGAGGAGCAAGTGTGTTCTGGTGTGCAACTGGCAGAGAAATTTCTTGTGGTCTTTCTTGGGCTTCAAGCATAATATCCATTAGAAATTTAATGCAAGTTATTTTTGCTGTTACAGGGAGAAATGGTGTGGGTGTAAAGATGTGTTAACAGGCATGGGGAGGTGGCTGTGTGGCTGGGCATCTTCTGTTTCGGCACCATCAGTTGTCAGAGCCCAGCTCAAAGAGCAGGGCAGTGCTGCAGCGGGACGGCTGAGCGTGGAGCACGATGTGGGTTTGGTCCAGCGAGGGAATGGGGGTGATGTCAGAGAATCATAGAATTGTACTGGTTGGAAGGGACCTTTAAGATCAACCATCAACCATCAACCTAACTCTGATAAAAAACCATCACTAAACCATGTCACTAAGCACTATGTCAACCCGTCCTTTAAATCCCTCCAGGGATGGTGCCTCAACCACTGCCCTGGACAGCCCATTCCAAGGCTTAATAACCCTTTCCGGGTAAAAATTGTTCCCAATCTCCATCCTAAAGCTCCCCTGGTGCAACTTGAGGCTGTTTCCTCTTGTCCCATCGCCTGTTCCTTGGGAGAAGAGACCGACCCCCCCTGGCTACACCCTCCTTTCAGGGAGTTGGAGAAAGGGAGAAGGTCTCCCCTCAGCCTCCTCTTCTCCAGGCTGAACACCCCCAGCTTCCTCAGCCTCTCCTCACAAGACAGTGTTTCATTTCAAGGATGTCTGTTAATGCTCCACCAGGCAAAGGGGTGGAGGAGGATGCAGTGTGCACAGAGCTCCTGGCCTTGCAGGAGCTGCTTTGGTGAGGAAGGGACCTTCAAACGCTGGGGATGGGAAGAGTGGACAAATGTCTGAAAACAGAGCTGGCAAAGACTTGCTTGCAAAAGCCAAACTGTCTGAATTAAAACGAGTATTTAGTTAATAACTGGCAATGCCCATTGTGCCCTCAGGCTGCTGGAGAGCACGAGTGAAACCTTGCCACTGCCACAGCAAAGGTTTACATCTGCCTGCGTCAGGGAGATAGTGGAGCTGCTCATGCAGGGAAGAGCAGGGGGCATTATTTGGCTCCTTGGAAGCTGAGAAAGTAGGACACATACCCCCCAGGTGACTTCCCAGAGCCAAACAGCCCAGCACTCAACACGCTTCGTCTCCCAAAACAGCAGATGTCCAGGACAGATCAGGACAGAGGATGGCAGCCCAACAGCCAAGCACATGAGCCAATCTGAGGAAGAGACCAGTGTCGTTGCAGGGGGAAGTAATTTGCACAAACCTGAAGCACTTTGTTCAGCCCAGTATGAAACAACTTCTCACATCTTCCAGTTATTCCACTGGTGTGTTTTAGGTCAACCCCTGAAATAAGCATAGGGGGAAAAAATGAAATGTTTCAGCCAGTTTGATTTTGGAAACGTCCGTGCAAACCAGGCGTCCCTTGTTGTATTTCAATCAAAACCCTTTGCCAAAGGGGAGCTCTTGGTACCCACAGCTCAGGTTTGCCCCAGGCACAGAGGGTTTGGGGCTCTGCCTGCCCCCCTGGGTGCTGCTGGGGCCAGCAGCAGCGAGAGCCGCCGGCGATGGGGCTGAGCCTGGGCAGCTTCACCCCCAAAACCAAGGACCCAAACCAAAAACACACCCAAACCAAAGACCACCGCCCCCGGCTCTGCTCTCCAGACGGCCATGAGGAGAGGTCCACGCTGGAAGGCCGGGAGAGAGGGCCACCAGGCTGCTCCGGGGCAATGCCTCTTGCTGATGGAGCCCCATGGGGCGGCGGGACCCCCCTGTGCTGCCCTGGAAATGGGTGAAATGGTGACATGTGGAGCCTCCCCGGTAGAGGTTGGGGTGAAGAAGTGATGAGACAAAGTACGTGCACAAAACCCTCCCAGCCTTCCGGAGACAGGGCTGAGAGACCTCCCGCCCATGACGGCGGGGGCTCAGCCCCGGGAGCAGACGCCCCTGCTCTGAGGGGGGCGAGGGCTGTCCCCGGCCGGTGGCGCCGGGGGCGAGGGGGGGCTCACCCCGGGGGCCTCACACGGCTGGAGCCCAGCCCGCACCGGCCCGTCTCCTCTGCCCCGAGCCCCGCCGCTGACCGGGACAGCTCCCGGGAGCGGTTCGGGGCTCCCGGTCTCGGGCGGGCCCTGCCGAGGGCTCGGCCCTGCCCCTCCGCGCCGCCCCGGCCCTGAGGCGCCACCGCCCGCTCCGGGCCCCGCCGCGGGGAGGAGCCGCGGGCCCAGCCCGGCCCCTTCCGGAGGCTCGGTGGCGATGGCGGTGCCGGTGCCGG